GTGTTATTTAAATTTGCGGTATTAAGCTCCCGTTCCAAGTAGGGTATATAAAGTGAATAAAAATCTCTTTGGGTGTGTTTGTTTGGATGGACTGGATAAGGGGGGATTGTAATCCATCGGACTGTTAGTCCCGGGATACATTGTCCCGGGACTATTTGGTTGAATTGGATTTGTATCCTATGCTTGTTTAGTCATGGGATTAGATGTCTGGATTGGATTATTTTTAGTAAATTCAATGTTTGGTTAGACGGACTGGATAATGATAAATGTTCAAAAGACTATTTTACTCTTATAATCTATAATTTATAATTTAACAACACTAAAAAAATTTAATTTATAAGGCCACAATTTTTAATTTATTATTTTCAATTAAATTAAATTTATATTTTATATTTTATATTTTTATTTAATATATAATTTTAAATAACGACAATAAAAAAATAATTTTATTTAATATATAAATTAAATTTTCAACAACACTAAAAAAATTTAATTTATAAGGGCATAATTTATAATTTATTATTTTTAAATAACTTTAATTTATAATTTATTTTTTTATTTAATATATAATTTTAAATTAACAACACTAAAAAATTAATTTTATTTAATATATAAATTAAATTTTCAACAGCACTAAAAAAAATTAATTTATAATTTATTATTTTTAAATAAATTTAAGGGCAAATTACACAAATAGTCCCCATAGTTTGGGGCTTGTGTCACTTTAATCCATGGCTTTTCAATTGTGACACATTTGACCCTGAATTTTGAATTTTGTTTCAAATAAGGACAATTGAAGATATCATTAAATTTTTAAAGGGTAAAATTGTCAATTTGATAAAATATAAACTAATTTGACAAACAACAATGATTCATCCCACTAAAAACATCACCACTAATAGCACTAATGCATTAAAAAAGTAAAAAAAAAAAATACAACTCCAAAACCAAAACATCACATCATTAATAGCGGGACCCACTGCCACCTAATTAGTGGGAGCACTAATTAGTGCTCCCAAGCATTTTTCTTTGACAAAGATAAATGCCAAATAAATATTTTTAAAATTTTAAAAATTATTTCTACCTACTAAAAATAAAATTATGTAAAATTGATAAATCTTTTAGACAATTATTTATTTTTTTTACTAAATTAATTTTTATTATATGTTTGGATGATGATCATGTAAAATTAATTTTAAAAAATTAATCATGTAATTTTTATTAATTTTACATAATTTTGTCATTGGTGGATAAAAATAATTTTAAAAAAATTAAAAATATTTTTTTGACATTTATTTTTGTCAAATTAGTTTATATTTTATCAAATTGATGATTTTACCCTTAAAAAATTAATGATATTTTTAATTGTCCTTATTTGGAACAAGATTCAAAATTCAAGGTCAAATGTGTCATAATTGAAAAGTCAGGGACTAAAGTGACACAAACCCCAAACTATAGGGACTATTAGTGTAATTAACCCTAAATTTAATTTATAATTTATATTTTTTATTTAATATATAATTTTAAATTAACAACACTAAAAAAATAATTTTATTGAATATACAAATTAAATTTTCAACAACACTAAAAAAATATAATTTATAAGGCCATGATTTTTAATTTATTATTTTTAATTAAATTTAATTTATAATTTATAATTTAAATTTTTTATTTAATATATAATTTTAAATTAAAAACACTAAAAAAATAATTTATAAATATTCAAAAGACTATTTTACCCTTTTCTAATTGTTTGCTAAGTAATAACATCGGGGTAAAATGGACATTTCAGAGCCTAATCCCATGGGTATCCCATTGAAATAATCTCACCCCCCCATGGGATAAGATATTCCCACAGATATGAGACTAATAGTTCGGAGTAAAAAAATTGAAACAAACAATGGATAGTCCAATCTCATCCCCTAATCCTTCAAAACAAACACACCCCTGGAGTACAACCATGTGATGCTCCCATGATATTATAATTGGTAAAGAATATAAGACTTATGATTTTGTGTTGAGCGATTGAAGAACACAAGGAGGCATGATGAATGATGATTAGTGAAGGAGTATGGACACGTGATACTTCGAGAATACCCAATAATTTTCTGTGATAATGAGTATTGTGAGATTAAGTAATAAAATCATTAGTGTATTGATATTAGATTAGAAAATAAAATAGGTTTGTTTGAGTACTAATGTGGTGGTATAAATTTGTTGAGATTAAAATTATGAAATTACGTAAAAGTTGTCGTAGTATAAAATGTGACTTTATTATTTTTATCAAGTGGGAAGCAAAATAGTATTTTTACACCTAATCAAACCAAGCCTTAAGTCCCATCAAATGGGGTCGGCTACATGAATCCTTCTTATCCACGCGGCCCTATCAAAGGCCACTTTATTAGTTAAATTAAGTAGATTCATATCTCTATTTATAACGCTAGTCAACGTTAATCTAGGCCTACCCCGTCCTCTAACACTTCCATCTACCGTTACAGCATCACATCTCTTCACTACTGCCTCTATTGGTCTCCGTTGAATACGACCAAACCATCTCAAATGATTCTCTCTCAACTTATCTTCTATCGGTGCTACTCCTACCCATTCCCGAATACACTCATTCCTAATCTTGTCCTGTCTAGTCTTACCACACATGCACCTTAGCATCCTCATCTCAGCCACACTCATCTTATCTACATGTTGTTTCTTGGTTGTCCAACACTCCGTCCCATACAACATAGCTGGTCTAATAACCGATCTATAAAACTTACATTTTAGTCTAGTGGATATTCGTTTATCACACAATACCCCAGACGCACTTCTCCACTTACACCATTCCGCCTTAATCCTATGGGCCACATCTGCATCAATCTCTCCCGCTGTTGTGATAATCGACCCTAAATAACGAAAATGTTCACTCTTAGGCAGTTCTTGGTTCTCAATCTTCACTTCTCCTCTGCTTTCATTGTTACTGTTACTAAATTTACACTCCATGTACTCTGTCTTAGTTCTGCTTATTCGGAATCCTTTAGATTCAAGAGCTTTTCTCCAAATCTCCAACAACTTTGTGTTAACTCCTCTAGTCTCATCCACTAACACAATATCGTCTGCAAAAAGCATACACCATGGCACGTCATCCTGAATATTTATTGTTAACTCGTCCATAACTAAAGCAAAAAGATAAGGACTTAAGGTAGATCTTTGGTGTAACCCTACAGTGATAGGAAATTCATTTGTTTCTCTAGCTAGCGATCTAATAGCGGTCACCATCCCTTCATACATGTCCCTAATCACGTCAATGTAGCATTTTGTCACCCCTTTTTTCTCTAACGCCCACCATATTATATCTCAGGGCACTCTATCATATGCTTTCTCAAGGTCGATAAACACCATATGAATGTCTCTTTTCTTTTCTTTATACTTTTCTATTACTATCCTCAAAAGATAGACCGCTTCCATTGTTGACCTACCAGGCATAAAGCCAAATTGATTCTCTGACACCACTGTTATGTCTCGCAATCGGCGTTCTATCACCCTCTCCCACACTTTCATTATATGACACATTAGCTTAATTCCTCTATAATTGTTACAGTTCTGGACATCACCTTTATTCTTATAGATTGGCACTAAAATACTCTTCCTCCACTCATCTGGCATGTTCCTAGTCAACAAAATTTTGCTAAACAACCTAGTCAACCAAGCAACTCCCTTTTTACCCAAACACTTCCAAGCTTCAATAGGGATATCATCAGGTCCTAAAGCCTTATTTGATTTCATCTTCTTAAGTGCAATCTCCACTCTTAGCCTCTATAAAGACAAAAAATAAAATAAAATAAAATAAAAAACTAAAATGAAACAACTTCATTGATCTCCAAAGGTCGGTCATGTCACTTTCTTTTCTTTTTTTTCATTTCTACCTTTATCTTTAGAAAAATACCTCTATGCCACTCTCACATGAAGAGAAACAAGCAAAAATTGACATTGATATTCTGAATTAATATATTTGTTTTCATTAGCTTGCTTTAAGATTTGATATGTTCTGAATCAACATTTAATATTAAGTAAATGGAAGAACTCATTCTTGAAAAAATTACAAAATATATGTTTTGCAAAACATATTCTCACTGTATCCATAACCAAACCAAACCAAACTAAGCCTTAAGTCCCATCAAATAGGATCGGCTACATGAATCATTCTTTTCCACGCGACCCTATGAAAGGCCATTTCGTTAGTCAAATTAAGTAGATCCATATCTCTATTTACAATGTTAGTCAACGTTAATCTAGGCCTACCCCGTCCCCTAACACTTCCATCTACCGTTACAGCATCGCATCTCTTCACTACTGCCTCTGTTGGTCTCCGTTGAATATGACCAAACCATCTCAAACGATTCTCTCTCAACTTATCTCAAAATCCTATGTTGAGAGACCAGACTCTCACCAGGAATCACCTTACAATCATTGCATTTTAAGCAGTCCACTTTTCTCACTAAGAAATAATCTATTTGACTCTTAACTAATCCACTCTTAAAGGTTATCAAATGCTCCTCCCTCTTCTTATACATTGTAGTGGCCACCACCAGGTCAGAAGCCAACGCAAAATCTAAGATTCTCTTTCCAGCCTCATTTTTGTCACCAAAACCGTATCCACCATGCATTTTTTCATAACCTACTTTGTCTATGCCCACATGGCTATTAAAATCTCCACCTATAATCAGGTTCTCTCCTACGGGTATCTCCTGTAAGATCTTATCCATTTGCTCCCAAAAATCTCTCTTAGTCTGATCATCTAACCCTACTTGAGGGGCGTAAGCGCTAATAATGTT